CAAACTAGCAAATAAACCAATGTGCCATAATGAGGATTTTAGTCCCTGTGTTTTAGCGCGGTTGCAGATGAGCGGGGATATGTGAGTAGGCAGAAGAACGTGAACACCAAGCCTTTCTGGAGTTTTCAAAAGTGCTTTCTGGAAAAACCGAATTATCAGTGAATAAACTAGGCTAAAACGAGTTACATAAATAGTCACACTACAATCTGAAAAGAAAAATGATTGACTCTTGGTGTATTCTAATACCAGACTCTTTAGCGAGCTTCCGATTTGCCTGCTCACTCAAAATAACAGATATTGGGTGTAACGGGGAGAAATAAGTTTTTTTTTCACACCACCATTTATCAAAACATCATATTATTAACTTTGGGGTTGGAGTTAAGAAAAAAGTGACATAACAAGGAGCATCAGATAAAATCTTTCATAAATCGATGACTTTAGAGGGCCTACTTTTGGAATTTATCAATACTGCTGCATTAGCAGATTGCTGTTGAAACTGGTACGATTTTAGATACAAAATTAGTCGGAAACTATATACCTAGGTGTTTTATGAGATTGGAAAAATAAATGCATGTTACTTTAATCCAAAAACAGTAGTTGAGTTTATATAATTTGTCATTTATAAATTCTGTCCTTCTGCTCTCTAGGTGTCTCGAAAGATTTAAATGTTACATAACTTTGGATGGTGCTAATTGGATAAGTCATTTCACTTCCTTTGATGAAAAGATATTACAACTAGCATCTCGAGAAATTCATTAGAGACCAGTAAGGGATAAAATGCGTACGTCGGAATTTACGTACAGACAATTTAAATGCATTCACCTTGCTGTCTGAAGAGAATAGATGAATATGAGCAGCAAAAAAGCCATATACATTTCCCAAAAAACCTGTCTTCATAATCTATGGCAGCTACTTTAATTGTGAAATTAAACGCTAATAAAAAAAATCGGGTTTAATTAGGGTAGAAGAATCTTAAGTTTACGCTGGAAAGCAGAAATTGAACGCTTCACATGCAAATGAATGGGATTAGTTCCGTTTCTCTTTTAAAGAATGTTTGTGTAAAATGGAATTTATTTCAACCAATTTATACGTTTTCCCGTGTTTCCAATGTGTTCAAAGATGAGGTACCAGCAAAATTTCAATCTGAATTTAATTAGGGCATACGTTTTTCAAGAAAGCCCTCAGATAATAATAAGGCTTGCTATTAAAGAGAGTGCAGTGTTTAAAATACATCAATAAGTGTAGGAAGGACAGATTAATTTGTGCAAATTAAGACAGCTTGAGGGCCAACAACCCATGACAACATTCTACGTTGTTAGCTAAGTGATGCTCATGCGGAGGGAAAGATACTTAGATAAAAATGTAGGATATTTGTTGTAGAATGCTACTAATCAGTGTTATTGCCTACCAGGAATTAAGGATTCAAAACTGTTATCTAAGCTGCATCAGAAATGGTCGATAGGTTCAAAACCCAAAATTAGCTCACGATTTTGTCGACGATGTATAAGGACGTTTAATAAAAAACAGTCTTCATGGTTGAAAAACGCTTCGAAAGCCCTTATTTCAGCAATCAAGGGCTGTATTTCTTATTGGAGAGAAGCAAAGGAAAATCGGTTGATGAGTAAAATGAGGAGGAGTTAGAATTAACACGTGGTTCCAAAATGGAATTATTTGGAAGCAGATGGTACCTACGTGCACGACCCTCGAGACTCATTGACGGTGCTTCACGAATTTAAGGCAGACAGGAAAATTAAAAACTAAAGCTTCTGATGTGTTTTACTGCAACATTATGCACCAATATATAGGTCACTTTTAATATGAACTGAAGGAGAGGTCAGCTATAGTCAATGACTACTGTTTTGATACCAATCATGATGCACATTGCATGCTTATTGTCCTAGAGCCAGAAAATGGTTTTTGAAGGTGTGGGACGGGCAGATTCGCTTTAATGATTTTCTAAATGAGACTAGTGGGTAAGGATTGCAATATCCGAGCATATTGAAGTTGTTAAAAATCAGCCTTGGTCAAGCTACTAGAGTAAAAACAGAGCGATATTTCATAAGGACAAAAACATACTACCATCTGTTTCAAGTTGCATTTGGTTCTAGCTCCAAAGTTATTTGTCAACAAGTCTTCTTTGCAATTGTGTTCGTACTTTATTGCCATTGTGAGGTTCAAGCATCCATAGTAGTTTAGGCTTTGCCATCCACGTATCCTAGCCAATTGTTGGTGGTCAAAAACCCTTGAAAACACTTAAGAGCAATAGATTATACATGTTCGTAATCAAGTGTCCGAATATATGTTCATATGGATAATCAGAGTTTTGTATTTAATTATCGATAATTTATTGAAAACAGCCATAAAATACTAACGTGCAATGACAACATGTTCTAGGAAATCACACAGTAACTAGGATTACAGAGCGGTGTTCAAAGGATATCGCAATAATTACGCAGACATCGGACAAATAAGCAAATTTATGTTACAAATTCAAGTTGGCACAAACACAGAGCCTAATTTTATGCATTGTTGGGGTAATATCATTGCAGTTAAATAATTCAAGTTATCGAATCTAAATTTTCCCCCATAAATCCACGAATGCATTTTTGGATGCAAATTGCTAAGTTTTCGTAAATGCACCCCAACAGTTGAATTGCGATGCATCATGTTGACATCGCATAATGATTCATGTATTGCTGAAACCCTTTTAATATTTCTGGACTTTCAGCAGAGCCTATGGTCTTTGTGTTAGTAAAAATTAGTTCAGTAAAGTTTTTTTCAACAATGTTTGCACCCAGTACGCTATGTCGAAAAGCAGTCAAAAAGATATCCATGCACGCATTATTAGTGATAATTTGTACCACCCCCAGCGTCCATTGCATGATGGCATGTACCAATTTATTACCTAGTTTTGCAAAGATTTTGAAAGTTTAGATGAAGATAAATAAAGTTTTATAACATATATAGGACAAACCATGTGGAGTTCTATGCATTTTTGAGAGAAGGTAGTTAGGAAATGATGTTCGAGCTAATAATTACGTAACTTACATGTAATTATTGGAAGGTAAATGTCTCATAATTATTTGTAATGATTATCCTAGTTGTTGAAAAAACATTGAACTAATTTTCTTCCGATGAAGCAGGAATTTCAAAACGTGGCTAGATTCAATGTACAAAATGTGATTAGTATACAGCAAGCGAAATATCAGTTTGTGAAATGTTGCACTTTTGCTGTTGAATTCATAATTCGATTAGTGTTTAGTAAAGTTAAAAGTCTGAAAATACGCACTTGATAGGATTATTTATATGGATATTTACCAGTAATATCCTTGATGAAGCTGTATAAAATCAGCAAGCATGCAAGTTTCCTAGGTTTGCTGTGTGAATCTTGTCCACGTGATAACTGTTTTCGGCATAATTAATGTGTTGTAAAACTAAAAGTATTTTTTCTGACAAGGTGGACTTGTTCCTTAAAATGACTAAGTGAAGTTAACACCTTAACAGACAGGCAAAGATGCCTAAAGGTGCCTGAGGCCAAGCTGGTGGTTGTATTATACACACTGATTACGAAGATGATAAATACAACAGAACAGGCTTTGTAAACAAACTACATGCCTGAACAGTTCGTCATACTCAATTTGTATAATTCAATCTGGTGTATGCCAGCCCATCACCCATCCGTATTTCCTGTTGGTTGCTTATTTTCCTCAAATCTACGAAGAAGGAGGATCGGCCGAACAATACATGATCCAAACCGTACATCGTTACTACTGTAGAATACCCGAGTCATAGTATGGAGAAGACCGGTACAACAGCTTTTCAAGCGACAACAAGCCA